GGCACGGGCACACTCCTGTCATACAATCGACACGTTACTACGGCAAAGTTAACTGCTCCTTGCGCAATACTAAAAGAGCAGAACATCTTCACAACCAAGTCATATGCTCGCTCATATGCGGTCGGTCCTCTAACCTGTTCGAATGAAGCACAAACGCCATTTTTATAGTTATTCATTCACATTTTTGACATGCACTTCCACAAAAGGTGCACTTTGCGCTTAACCCATCAGAGCAGGTCCTATTGCATGCCCCATATGTCCAATTATTCAGTGTTTTAGCACTTTGTTTACAACTTTGTGTTCTCACGTGTGTGTGGTTGTGTGTGTGTGCGTGTGGGTGTGTGTGTGTGTGTCCACTCCTATTCCATTCTTTGACCCTTCCAGTTGTTGTAAGACTTGTTAGAGTGTGTGACACTCATCTGCGCTCGGTGGGCTCTTCCCTCTGAGAACATCCTGTGCAAATACTGCTTATTAATTGTGAGGCATCGTTTTGGTCTCATGACATGTGAACGGACATTATGAAGGGGACTGAAGTCCAGTTCACACAACGTATTGGTCCATTCATGCATCAAACACCTGCGGTGAATTTTGCTGTTCAGCTTCTTGTTAAGAGAACAGACAAAAAAAACAAAACAAAAAAATCCTACTAAAAGTTTGAACAGTTGGACAGCGGTCAAAATCGGTTCACCTGTAAAGGTTAAGTCACATTTTAGGTTCATTATAAAATTTCAAGTTGATGTGCCGGCATCTCCATCTTTTTGAGAGGAGTGTGCAGTTTCCTTTTGAGAAACGTGTCGCAGGCTATGACGTGGAAATTTAATATTTATTCTACACATTTTTACACCATTGGAAAATGTTAAGAATGTTTGTGTCATGTTTTTCCTCCTACAGAAACCATATGAACTCATTCACTCCCAAAGACATTTTTAAACGTCTTTTCAGACTTGGTCCAGAATTGGCTGGTACTGAATGAGTTAAAACAAAAAAAAATTCTCTCCCCCATCTTTTTCCATTTTCGAACATTTTTGAAAAAGCTCCAGGGAGCCACTAGGGCGGAGCTAAAGAGCCGCATGCAGCTCTAGAGCCGCGGGTTGCCGACCCCCGCCTTGAACGTAAGTTAATTATGAATTATGAGTTTCACCTTGAACAACAGAAATAAACATTGGGACGAAATTTCCATCAAGTCAGGAGAAATGGCAGGAATGCGGTGCTTCTACATTAGGATAAAGGCGCTGAAACACGGTACGGTACAGCGTGAGTGCACAAACTGGTGGCGGCCATATTGCGGCAATGACTACACAGGTTATGTCATTCACAATTACCTGACAGGGGAGCCGAAAGGTCTTCAAGCTGTCGCGCTTTGCCCAGAGCTGCCGCCAGCTTCTTCTCGAATCGGCGTAGGAGGCTCACTTGGTTGTTGTTGTTTCGCTGGAGGGAGTTTGACGCCATGATGCACTCGCGTGTACTGCCGCAGAGGAGGGTTGAAAGGACGAACCGCGGGGAGGTCGTTTAAAGTGGAAATGTCATTTTTGGAATCCTCCTTTGTGGCTAGTTTAGGCCTCTTGTTTAGAAAGCTTGTTGGCGCAGGAGGCGGGGCGGGCCGTTTCGCCGGCCGCGATGTCTGGAGTCTCGTCTGAGGATGAGCCGAGGCTCGTTGCTCGTTCATGTGGGAGACCCCTCGATGGAGCCGCCCGTCGTTTTCCTTTGTCACGGAGATCCCTCCCTCTTTCCTCGTCCTCACTTCTCTGGGTTTTTGGGGACAGACCGCCATGTGTTTGGTTCGGCTGCGTCGCATTGTGAACTCCCTGCTGCAGTGAGGGCAAACAAATACGTCCTCGTGCGCGCGGGGAGGCGACGCTTTGTTTGGCAAGGACTTGCTCCGCTTGGGCATGACCCTCTGGGCCAGCTTTCGCTTCCTTTTGTTCATTAATTTCAACTTTATTTTAACCGAGGACTCGTTGGACTGGTTGCCTCCGTTGGAGGCGTTGGATTCATTTTCCGAATTGGTCGTGGAGAGGACGCCGTTCTGGCTCTTTGCAAAGTGTCGGAGCGGGATGGGATTCTTCTTGGGCGTGTAGCGCCTCTTATCGCTGGCGTTGGCGCAAGCCAGGATGTGCTTGTGCAGCTCCGGCATGTTGTCAAAGCTTTTCCCGCATTTGGTACAGCGAATAGCCGTGCTGAAGGTTTGAGGGATGTTGTGGGTGGTGAAATTTGTGGCCGAGGCCGGCGACCCAGCGGGTGACCTGTTATGGTAAGGGAAGGGCGGAGGCTTGAAGCTGGGGTAGTGCTGGTTAATGCCGAGACGGACATCGGGCGCTTTGAGTTTGCCTCCGTCTGAGGCCAGGATCTTAATGGTCGTGAACAATTCTTCGGCGGCCACGTCGACTTCGTTCTCTTCCTTTTTCACCCGGTCGGCAGACGCGTCGGGCAACGCGGGCTCGGCGCTGACTTTGGCGGAGTAGTTGTAATTCTGAGATCTCACTTTTCCTTTTTCTTCTTCGGTGAATGTACATTGCTGGGCGGGATGCAATTCCTCCTGATGCTGTTTCAGATTGCAGAAGTAAACAAAGTCCTTCGGGCACGCGCTGCAGAGGTAAGTCTTGTCGACGCCGTGAAGGCTCGAGCGGTGGTCGAGCAAAGCCGAGGGCTTTTCGAAGAGCAGAACGCAGAATTCGCATTTGTAGGGCCATTCTTCCGCGTGGTCGCTAACGTGATGGCCGAGTTCTTTCATCGAGTGGAACAGCAGGTTGCAGACGTTGCAGATGAAGTTCTTGGCGAACGTCTGCGGCTCCGCGTCACTTGCCGTGTTGCTCGGCGGTTCTGTCTCGTCGACATTCTCAACGCGCTTTGAGTCGTCAGCAGAAACGACCACGCCCGATTCTGTACCGTCAGTCGCGACTTCCGCCACTGATTCAGTAATGTCGGTTGCGACTTCCGCTGCTGATTCAGTCCCGTCGGCCGGTTCCTCTTCGTCCGCATTGGGAGGCTCTTCGGCTAAGTCTTGGTCCGGTTCTTCAGCCTTGGCGGAAAAAACCGCCAGTTCCTCTTCGTCCGCGTTTGGAGGCTCTTCGGCTAAGTCTTGGTCCGGTTCTTCAGCCATGGCGGGAAAAACGGCCGGTTCCTCTTCATCCGCGTTTGGAGGCTCTTCGGCTAAGTCTTGGTCCGGTTCTTCAGCCTTGGCGGGAAAATCCGGCACCAGTGAGGTGCTTGACGACAACCTGACGGACTTTTCAATGGAGGAAATGAGGACGGCCGGGTCCACGGTGGCAGTGTTGGGCAATGACACCATCTGTTGCTGTTCTATGTGATTAACGAGCATCTGCGCGGAGACCGCAGGCTCCGTGCAGTCTCGCGCGGGAACGGCGGCGGGAACATTCCCCGGCGTTTCGAGGGAGATGGTGCATTCGATCAGGACTGTGTTGCTTGTGATGTTGTACGAGTTGATGAGGGGATCGTTTAACGCTGCGGCGGATGTGAACGGCACCTCAGATATGCCGTGGTCTCCATTTAATGGGGGGCTCAGAGAAATTTGATCGGCGAGAAACATGTGGCCGGGTAGGTTTAAAGAGGGGTCGAGTGGATGCGAGAGAGCGACGAGGTTCGCAGCATTGGTCGCCGCAAACGCAGATGTTAAATCGCATTGTGTCGGATTGATGGCATTTTCCGCGCAGAGTACCAGCGGCTCCGGCGATATATTTGGAGCCAGCACTTGGATCGGTTGGCTTGAGGGGCTAGGAAGAGATAGCGGGGGAGCCAGAACCGTGATTAATGATGGGGCGGCTGGCAGTGCCGGGTGCGTAGCTGAGGGAGCAAATGATACCGCGCAAGGTGTAGCCAGCGGCAACTCAAGAGGTGTGAGGGTGGCCGGTGCGGAATTCAGAGGACACGAAGGCAGCGAAAGTCCATAAACGAGTCCCTCTGCGACGGAGTCGGCCATATTGGAACCCGTAACAATGGCGAGGTCCGACACAAGAGGTGTTTCGTGGGTTGCGGCACTTCCATTTTGCTCTCCGACGCTCAGGAAGGCCCTCTGCTGCAGGCACGCATTTAAATGATCCCCCGAGGGGAACACGAAATTTGATATCAGCCGAGCTTCTTCAAGGCTTCTTTTTTGCAAACTGAGATCCAGCGCGGCATCGTCTGAATCCCCGACGTCGTTTCGTTTCATCGTACTGGAGAGATCCAGTGGTTGCTGACTGCAGCGGTTGTCGACAGTCGCGGGAGGCCAGCTCTCTGTCGAAAGAGGAATTGCTTGAGCTTCCTCAATATTCTGGGATGTGTTTCCTCGTTCGCTGGCACTCTGGGTGTCCGTGTGCCTCAAACTAACGGCATCGACATCCGTATCCGTCGTCGCTGCTTCCTCATCGGATGTTGTGCTGTGCTGAGGAGAACTTTGTGGAGAGACGGTCCTTCTTTTAAACCTTCTTGCCGCGGCAGAGACAGATGAGCAAACTGTTTGGCCATCTGGAAGCAAAATGTCCTGATTTTCTTGTAGCTGACTCACTTTGGGGGACAGATACACAATGGTTGGGTTTGGGGGGGGAAGTGAAGACTCTGTCATTTGAGCAAGCGGATTCTCCATGAACGAAGTCACCGGTTCCGAGGAGGATGACGACACCACCACCTCCGATTCTAGTTCCGTTTGAATTTGGGGTAGCAGAGGAGGTGTTGCGGTTCTTCTCCTGGCAAGTGCTTGACCCGGCGACTCTTGGTTGCTCAGAATGGAATCCATACTTAACCCCAGGTTCAAATGAGTGGGATCCAGAATGAGGGCATCCAGTCCAACCAAAGTCGAACACGCAGCATGAACTTCAGCTGCTTCGCAGCTGCTCACTGTGCTCGTCGACACAATTTTCCCGTCGAAGTAAAATCGGAGATTCTCCGAGATACTGCTGGAGACATCGAGCATGTAGTTTCCAGCGCGTTCCACTTCATCGTCCACCATCTCCCCGGCAAGCTGGGCCCTGTGATTTGACGTCGCAATGATTATCTGCTGTTGATTTCCCTCATAGGGCGTCTCACTTTGTTGCGCACGTGCAATTTGCAGATGCTGCTCGTGGACTGTGCTCTCGTGCTGCTCTTTGTTCGGATAGGTAGTGAATCTCTTTTCACAGTAGCTGCAAGCGTAATGCTCGTACAAGTGCTCGTCAGGTAGGACAGAGTTGTGTCCAGGGGTATTTGTGCTTTCCATCTGGGCATCTGAGCTGACTGAAACTGAAGGCTCCACGTTGTCATGCTGCAGCGGATCAAAATCCAAACTGGATGCCATTTCCCCCCTCTTGCTTTTGTATGTATGCGTCACATTTTGTATCAAAGCGTGGCTATGCATGTGTCCTTCCAAGTCTTGTCGGCTGGTAAAACAGCTCCCACAGTGCTCACAGGGAAAAGACTCCCAACCACAGCGAGTAGCATGAGCGGGGTGGTCATGAACGTCACACGTGTCGGGTTCCATACTGGTGCTCTCTTGCCCAATGTCGTCATCTTCCTGCTGTACATCCTCAACATCTCCATATTCAGAGAAGTGAGGGTTTGGCTCCATTTTCCTGAAAGATTCTATCCAGTTCTTTTCAGAAAGCGCCTGCTTCAGTTGTCACACCTGATGAAGGAATAAACAGATGTCATTTGAGGGCACCAGCAAATGCCATTATTGAAAATTCAGGTGAGGTCAGCACAGGGTGTAAGATTAGGCGATCTTCTCGCAACACTCAGTCAACTGCCATATTGCGGTCATAGTTTATATTTATGAGTTTTACATGTATGATGACCTTGAAGTGTATTTAGTACTGTAATTTTCAAATGACTAATGCTATAGCATTGGTCAGTTATAGACTATGGCAGACTCTGACTTAAGTACAAATATTTCCTCGTACTTCTGAACAAGAAATTATTCTTCTGAATACTAAAATGGCAGTTCAACCATTCACAGAGATTTGCCCATCCCATTGAAATAATATTTACTGTTGTAACTTTAAGACTAAAAACGTTTAAGTTACACACCAACGAAGATCACAAAGCTATATTTAAAAAAAAAATAATACTTTTGACATGGCAGCCATTATGCTAACACTCGACGCACAACATTTTCAGTGTTTTATTTCACTAAACAAAGGTTACAACCATGAATAAAAAAACAACAGTAACTTTGCTTCAACTTACCATTTTGCAGTTTGTGCAGCAGCACAGGCATGCCCTGTACAAACGCGACGATGGACCTTGTTTACTGTTAAAAGAAGACACAGCAGGATGTTACGTTGCACCAACGTACAAAAAGTCTTTGTCATCATAACATTACATTACAACACAACACATCAAACAAAGCCTTTTGGGGGGGGGGGGTAGGTGATGGGGCAGAAATAATTGTCCTCATTTTAAGTACTTTTTTTAATCGTTCAAACAGTCTTATTTGCCTTAATAAGATTTCACTAATGTTGCACTTCGGCTGTAATTTAAAATAATCCTTTCATGGCCACATTCAATTGTTACGGCAGTGCAAGAATAACATGACACAGGTTAGAAAAAATAATTGTGTTGTTGTTGTTGTTGTTATAATACAATGACAGTTTTGTGTGCGTGTAAAAAGAATGAAGTGACAGGGCGATCTTTAAACGGGCATTTTAACTTACTGTTTGGGAAATATACATACAGCACATAGCAAGACGACCCGAAACAAAATGTAAACAGATAAAATGCAGTTGGTGAATTGAAAATTCTGACAAACGCCCAAGAGAAAGGCCCATGTCAGCAAAAATAACACGAGAAAATACAATACACGTTCAAATGCATTTCATAACTAATTCGGCTGCACTCAATATGAAATGGAATAACTATGACGAAGGAGGAGGATGCTTTCATCTGCTAACTGGAGTCGCATTTGCGGTGATGGTGCGTTCAGGTGCCTCTCCCCCCCCACACTTGCCTTGATGACGCTTGGCGTCCTTGCACCATTGCTAGTTATCCACAAGACACGTCGCATTTCCAGCTCTGAGCCTCTGACGACACAAGCTTCTCGTTAGCGCACGGATTTACCCACCGACTCCTTTAACATATCTACATATGTAAACATCGTCCGCATAAAAATGACAGCACACAACAGCTGCGACCCTGCAACACGCTTTTGGCGAGCAACTGTAAAAATAGGCATCTGCGCAGTACTATCATGCAGGCTACTGTCATATCAGACTTCTGCTAGCTCCGATGTTAGCCCTTAAACGTTTGTTACAAGCTGTATCTCGGGGGGAAAATGACTTACACGGGAGATTTAATGACACTCTTCGTATAAAACCGTGCGTGGTTGTGTAGAATTCTGAATTACGTACTTGACTTGCGACCACATTGTCATTCAGTAGTTTCGTATCCGTGTTGTGCAGGTTGTCAACAGCTGGGCGTTCTTCAATGACGCACGATAAACGTGCGTTTCGATTGGATTAGAAAAGACTATGTCAGATTTGAACCAATGGGAGAGAGGTTTGTTCACGTACAGGAAGACAACATCGCGAAAGCTCGAGCTTCTCGTCAGATTTAAATGAAACCGTTCGAAAATAGATTCAATAGATTCAAATACATAATGTGCAATGAAAAGACATTTACGGAGATATTAAATCACACAAAAGAGTAACGATATTAACCGTCACTCTGATTGCGTGTAATAACTCTGACCAGCAGATGGCGGAATAATACAGTACAGTATTCATCTCTGGTTTGGGCGTTAACGGCTGCGTTCATGTGATAATTGTTATCACACGTCAATTATACAAGATAAATTTTGAGTACTTTTGCCAAATCTGCCTATCCTACATAAAACACATGACTTTGAAATGCAATTTCTGTTTTGCAAGATCATAAAATGCTCAAGGTGGAACGCAGTTGAAGTTGCAAATAAAATGTGTTGAATGAGCCACCACTTCTCCGTGACAAATAATATAATTTTGTTCCTATTTTTTAAGTCACCACGCTCAATAGGCCTCCATGAGCCCCGAGGTGCACTTCATATTTAATGGGAATTGCAGCAGTGAGGTTGTGATGGGAAGGTCACCGTTGGGTCTGCTGGTTCAACAAATCTGGCTGCTTGATGTTTATTTAGCGAAGAATTATTCATATGCATATCAATTGAAAAATATGAATTGTAAACATGTAAGTGCAAGCACAGTACGTGTTCACATCTGTATATGATACTTCAGATATATGGCCTCTGAAACGTTTCCCAGGAGAGGCAGATCACTTGCCATATCATGTGTGCAACCTGTATCAGTGGCAAGTGTCGATGATTGCCATGTGTGCATCTCATAGACTCAAAATCCCCCCAAAATATAGGAAACAACAGAATATACAGACACAACCTCATTCATAAATATATTAAACCAGTCAAAACCAAGCATTATTATCTAATTTGCAGAAAATCAGAGTGATCAATTGTCATTGTCATTCGATGCCATTTTGCATACTACGCTCAGTGGCTTATTCAGCCATCCATCCATCCATTTTGTAATGTGCTTATCCTCACAAAGATCGCGGGGTATTCCCTGAACTGGTTCAATGGCTCATTCATTCAAATCATATTTATAAAGCACAATGACACTAAAGTCTCTTAATTCCTTACAATTCTAAATGTTGCTTTTTACTGTGTGTGCAAGATTGTTATATGTATACATTTTACTTCACGAGTACACAAAAGCAATAAAATGGCATTATTTACTAAATTCAGCTCAGCAAAACATTGCTTTTTATTTTGTCTTGTTCCTTCTTGAGTATGAGTGTGATGGACATTGTTTTGGAAAATTGTGAATTTTACCTGATGAAACCTTAACTGTGAATGCCATGATTACAACAAAAAAAGGATGGACGCACGCACAGCCACCCAGGCCACCCCACCTAAAAATTCCTGGTTACGCCGCTGCTCCTCTGCTTACGGTGTCACAACGACACGGCGCAAGCACATTTCCTTGTGGCTTCCATACGCTCACTACCTCACCTCTGTGACACTCTCCACTTCCACCGAGTGAGTGACCCAGCTGTCACTTGCACTCAAAAATAACGAGTCACTGGGATGATATTTTCATCATGACATCATTGCACTCATTGAGCCTGACATGTGTCATGTCTTGAACATACTGTACACATCAAGCACTTGCAGTAAGGCAAGCTTACATAGCAGGACGCTTACATGTGAGATGCATGCAGTACAAGGTGTTTATCTGTGAAATTATGATAAAACAGGAATTATAATCATGATTAAAAAAATATTTGAATAAAAAGGGTCTCCATACATGGTTAAATACATCCATGCAATGTCCTTATGCACAAATCGTTGGTCACAGTTGACCTAAAATGACAATCTATCATGACTGACACCAAATTGATTTATGTGTATGATGCTAGATTATGCTAACGGGAACGAATCTGCTCCTTTTATTTTTCCTCCTGCATATCGTCTCATAAATTGACATTTTTTTCCACCCATAAAATGTGTTGGCGCTGTGTTAATACACAAGAAGACATGAATCGCAAAAACAATACTCGAAGACACCGCTGTAATACACAGGTAGCTGAAAGTCGGCTCTCAAGCAGCAAAGGCATCATTTGCTCATGAGAAGCCAAAAGAAAAACACACACCAAATTTGCCCACCTGATTTAAGATAAACTAATTACCTCATTTAAATGACTGGCGCAGGAACAGTTTACTCCCAGCCTAAAATAACAGGCAATGACGTGTACTCTCACACACACACACACACACACACACACACACACACACACACACACACACACACACACACACACAGAAGCACGAACGCACGCAAGAGACAGAAAACATGCACAATGCATTGGCCACAAGTATGATGTACCACCCAAAGATGTGGTGAGCTTCTCCACATTTGTTTTTTTTTTTTTTAATGTGCACGCCACAAAAACAGTGTGTTGTCATCAAATTGACGTGTCTACACACATAAACAAGTCCTAAAAATCTGACTTGAGGTGTACACAGTGACACAGACGTTACGGTGGAACAGTTATTTGTTTTTACATGGAATAGGCTTAGCTCTATGAGGGCATTTGTGTAAATGTTTGACGTCGGGCCCACCTAGGAAGTGACTCCACCCTGTCGTGTTGCACAAATCTGCCGCCCCCCCACCCCCACTTTTTTTTTTTTCTGCAAAAGAGTTGAACGTGAGTGCTTCCCCTTCACATCTGCCCCTGTGAAAAGCCTTGATTGTTCCCCGTGGTGTGAAGGAGAGAGGCTCTGCTCAAGGCAGTTATAACGCTGGCCCACGGGGCAGAGGTGCAGGACGTTTGGGCGGCTGCCTAAAACCACACAGGGGAGCCTACAGACACAGAGCATCACTGTGCCACTCACAGCCGACTGTTGGAGCCTTGCCTCGGCCCAACGGCAACTTTTGAGAAAGTCCACAACATGATATTAAAAAAAAAAGAAAGAAAGAAAGAAAAACTGTCAGCGCAGCCCAGCGGCTTTAACTGACTCAACGGCTGCTGGCGCTACCATATTTGGTGGCACTCTGAAATAACGGTTGGTAGGCCTGAGGGTTATTTGCGGGGCAAAGCCATCTTGAAATTGTTTGGTTTTAAAAAACACAGGGAGTCTGCCATTTTGGTCAAGAGCAGCCATTTTAGGGTGATTTTTGTCATTTTCAGGTCTCCTTCAAAAATGAACTTATTTGAGAGATTTTGTATGATTGCTACCAAATTTGAAGCACATGTGCTTGATGGATGGGTGAGAGTAAATTACAAATATTTTTTGTTTTCTTCAGTTCAACGATTTACCATAACACACGGAACTCTCAACCATAAAGCATATACAATGCATTTTTCCCCATTATTGAAATCATTTCGCAGCTGTTTAGAACTATGCTAATTTCTTTTTGCCTGTCAATGGTAATTCACATGATGTTAGCATTATGCTAACGGGATATCATTTCACCAAAACACGTGGCGTGGTTTAACATTTTGGTGTTTAAATATGACATGTTTAATTTTCTCGCTCGCATGCGGTTGTTTGCAGGTTTATAATAACCAGAACATACATGCTAATTAACGTTAGCTTACCGAGGCTGCTTTCATTTACATGTTAGCATTGAGATAGCGGATCAACGATATGATGTGCTTTGGTTCGACATTTTGGTGTTTTCATATATGTCGTGTATTGATGTAACGTACATGATAAATGAGGCTTTTCTGGATAAACGTAATACCTTGTCACACTTTTGTGGAAATGACTTTTTTTGGGTGGTTGAGAAAAGTGATGTGGCTCCCATTACATTAGAATTCCTTGCTAGCATGGCACAGGAAAAAAAATCTCACAGTACCCCACCAAACAAAAATATCACAGAAACTGTATACAAAAAAACTAATAATAATGATCTTGTCTTTATATACTCACATATTTACAAAAAAAGAAAATCTGGACTAAATTAGTTTAACAAAAGCTATTATTGTATTTTGTTGCAGAAGGAGCAACTGGTGGATTTATATGTGAATTTTATATTCTGCCATCAAGTTGAAGAGCATTTAATTATTGTGTTTGTCAAAGGCTGGCATTGACAGATGAACATATTTTGTCATAAACAAGTCATATTTTTTGACAACAATTAAGCGACATTGTATAATTTCCCATGGCACAGCTGATGATGTCTCACATTCAGCTTCTGTGCTATGGCACAGGAGTTGGGAATCATTGCGTTAATGCACTGGCTTTCGGCATTGTCCTGGTAACCACCTAATGTGACTGATGGGACGACAGAGATTTGAAAAGTACTCGAAAACAGAAAAAGGCCACTCTCTGGACACAATGTTGTGCTTTTATTTATTTATTGAAACAGTATGAACAAAAGAAATTAAATAAAAAAGGGTTCCAACCAATCAGAAGGCACACATAAGAGTCGTGTTGGTAAAAACAGCACATGGCAAAGCAGGAGGAAGGAAAACAAAACACGTCATTGCAAACATTTTGCTGTGTCTTAAAGCCTATTCATTAACGATTACGTCACTCATTCAGTGCACATTACGCAAGTTTCGCAGGCAAGCAAAGCCAAGCGAAGACTTATTTGTACACCCGTTTATGCACGGAGAACAGAACGGAGCAGGCCTGATGCACAACAACTCATTTCGAGGCCTGAGCGGAAATCCTGCTTATCAGCTTTTACAACGATTGCCCAAATGTGTGCGACTTCAACGGCACAGCTGTTTCATTTCAAGAAGGGGTGTTCATTGGTAAAATACAATCAGTTCACATTGATAACGCGCTCGAACATGGTTCTGATCGACGAGTGAGTGTGGCGCAAACTCTTCTGTTAGTTGTCAGTGTTAAAGGAGGCAAAATGTCACGTCACCATTGCTTTAATGTCATTTTTTTTTATGTTACAACCCACCCTCTGGCCTATACCAAGTCACTTCTGCAAACAGCGCTTCATACATTTGGTCAACAAAATGTCAGGGACTGAGGAGAAATGATTAACAGTTCTGCATGTGCCACGTGTCTTATAGTCACTAATGATAGCTTATGCAGGTGCAACATCAATGTTGACCGAGGCCCTATTTTTGTTCAGAGTGCAAGGCTAGCGCAGAGCGCACTGGAACTGTGCATATGGGCGGAGTGTTTTTTTCTTTTGTATTTTGATAGACTTTGGGGTGAGTGTTTGCGCCTTTGTGCGCCATTGTGGGATGGAACTTGGTGTTTTCCAGGCCAATCCTCGCTGCATCCCTAATTTGCATGAAAATCAGGGCGGTACGAAGCGCACGGCCAAGTTTGCCGTGCTTGACATGCGGAAACAGATTAGACTCGCTGGACGTTGACACGTACACTTTAATATCGCCCTTTTCGGATGACGTAGTCGGTTGTGTATGTGCGTGGGAAATTGGAGATAGCCTTGAACGTGATCTTGCGTCTGTGTGTGACCGCTGGCAATAGTGACGGGGTGCTATTAAAATTGATAAAAAATGATGATGATTTTAATTCTCACGCTGATGTCATATCATGAACGAAATACCATGAGGACCACCACGCACGTCCGTGCAGTGCCGAATCTGCCTGTTCTTTGATACACCAAAATCGCGTAACACCACCTGCTCTGCAAAATAGACCTACTTTTCGTTTAAAATTGAATCTACTTTTTGCGAGATGTGTTGGGGGTCATGGCAGAAAGCGTAGTGGCTCTACTTGATTCACAAACACGCTGAACTAGGCCGTTGTCCCGTTTTTACGCGGAGTGCAGACTACTTTCTGTCACCAAATTAGCAGGAGCGTTGGGGGCGAGGCTGCTTCATGCACAGTCACGCCCAGACAGACGTAACACGGCCCCAAACACGCGAGGCTAGACTTGTGCTGGCACAAATATGACGTCACTGCCAAAATAGGTTCCATTGTGTCTAATTTGTAGCCATCGTTAGTACTTTTCTCCTTCCGGGTTGCATGCACGTTTAATTATCTCATTCTAAAACCTTTTGTTAGTTGGCATCAAGCAAGATCTAGCATTGAAAATGTTTTCCAAAACTGCAGATGAAAAACTGTTAAAATTTTGTACGTGTCTGGTTAAACATTTAGAAAGTTTATTTTCTTTTTTCCCCCCACCCACACTTTGAGGCAGAGGAGAAACGATTCCCCAGAATATGAAATGGGTGATTGGGTTTGATCTATTCAGGTCTTACGTCATGCTTTCTAAACCAGGAAGTAGCTTTCGGAACAAACTGATGGACAAACAAACACAAATATGGACTTTCGCAATGTTTTCATTGATGTGCACAGAAATATCCTTTCTCTTTTTGCCATTTGAAACATAACATCAGTGTTCTCAACGCCCCAGGATGTGTAGTTGTGTGATGTTTTTCACTTTTGTTCAAGAAATGTATTTCCTGAGTCCATGTTCTCCATTCTTAGTCTTACGTTATCTTTTTCTAAACGGTAAATAGCCTGCGGGGTTAAAAAAAAAAAATCAGATGGCTACACAAACATTACATTTGACTTACAATAGAAATGATCCCTGTCCTAGAATTTGTTGTCAGTTTTGGCTAAGCCTAAAGCAGGGGTGTCAAACTCATTTTGGTCGCGGGCCACATTGTAGTTACGGTTTACCTTGGAGGGCCGTTATGAATTTTGGGAAACCATATAAATGTGTGTAATCACCTCCACATTTTCCATACACAGCACACAACAAATTTATGGATAACTAGTTTTAAAATCAGAAGTCAAAAATAATGACTGTTATTGTGGGTTACATAAGACAATTTGAAAATTTGGTTCAGACTTTAGCAAGCATCATGGAACTTGACATGCTTGATTTGCTTTCGCGGGCCACATAAAATGAGGTGGCGGACCAGATCTGGCCCCCGGGCCTTGACTTTGACACCCGTGGCGGAAAGTCTTCTGTCAGCCATCTTGAAGCAGGAAGTTGCCTGTTAACTAACAAACAAAATGAACAAACAAAAGACAAATATGGCATTTCATAATGATTTTCACTTTTGTTCGGAAATGTATTTCTCTTTCCACAGTGTATATCACAATAGAAGCAGTGTCCCTTCCCCAAAAATAAATCCAAATTGGTAGGGTCCCTTTTTTCTATTTCTAAAGCGGAAACTTGTTCCAGAAAGTCAGAGAAATGCTTGTATGTATGACATCATTTGTCTTGAACAGTAAGTAGCCTATTGAGTAGCAAATTATAAAGTATGGCGCTCCATGTTTTTAATGTTTCTTCTTTTCTCTTTTTGCGGTGTAAATCCAGATAGAAACTTTCCCACCACCCAAGAATTCTGATAGACATTTTTGGCTGTAAGTTTTATGTCAGTATTCTTGAACCAGGTAGTAGCCTGCTACCTACAAATGAACAAATATGGTGCACCATAACATTTTCCATTCTTGTTAAAGAAATGTATATATCTGTTCACAGTGTAAATCACCATAGAAGCATTCCCCCTAGTCTTAAATTGGTACGGTCCTTTTGACCTATTCCTAAAGTCTTAACATCAGCTTTCCTGAAACAGGATGTAGCCTCGCTAACAAACTGACGAACGTCTCAATGATCCCATTAAAAACAAAACACAAAAAAAAAAAAAAACCCCGAGTCTAATCACTATATCGCTGATGCGGGATCACGTTTTACGGTGAAATTCCTTTGTGTATTGTGTTTATATGAATCACTCCATTTGCCGTGACGTCATCGAGGTGAACAATGAGCGGCATGTCTCTGTCGTCTTACATACATATCATACATACTGGACACACAAACTAGGCTCCCATCTTTTTCTTTCGGCAACATGACAGTTCCGAGTCCTGCTTAGAATCATAAAGTTCTGGTGTTAAATTTATTCGTTGGTTGCTGTTTCAATGATTGTAATTGACGTCACAGTTCAGTAGTTCAGAATTTCCAGAACTTTGACGGCTCCTGCTGCTTGGCCGCCTTCGTCTTTTTCTTCTTCAGGGGCTGAGGACGAGAAGGAGAGCTGCTGTCACTCAGGAGATAAGGTTCTTAACCCCAGTGTTCGATCGAATCCAGGTTAAGTACCACCATTTTTAGCCAGACACGTGCCACAAAGAAGCAAGTCTTAGTGTTTCACACAATGACATCACTCTTTTGTAATGATGATCTGAAACTGATGATTTAGAAGTAAGTGCGGGATTGCAGGACATGATTAGCTGAAAACTTCTAACACACGAACAAAAACGACTGCATGATCATACAGCACACGAGTGGTTTCTATTGGGTAATTGTGTTGTCTCACCTCCACAAATAAACAATAAACAAATACAAGCAATAAATGAAAATCAAGTCAAAACAGTAAAAAGAAATAAGAACAACAGCAACTATGCTAATAACAATAGAAATAAATAATAATAATAATAAGAAGAAGAAGAATTGCAATAATAATGAATACATATACAAAAAATAAATGTATAAGTTTTCATTGATACAAAAATTGTACTAAAATAATAAAATTGAGGAACTCCGTGGCATTCAAAGCTCATCCCAAATGTGTGGCGTTCCACTGTAAGGTAAATACTCATATCTGGTCAACGCGACATGACGATTCGAAATTGAGGCGAGGTACTCACGAGTATTTTCCCATCCTCCTGACGACAGCGATCACCGCGACGACGACAATGACGACGGCCAACAGAGCGCCAATCACAATGCCGACGACCTGGCCCGAGCTCAGGCCTTCTGCAGGGCAGAAATCAAAGTGTTCGGACAGCGGTTCTCAACTTTTTTGCAAATCACATCTGCTTAGCGCCTCATGGCCACCATTAAAAACTAACATGAAACATGAAATAGCCTTTTATGCCACAGTGTTTTATGCCCGTGAGTATAATGACATTCACTGTCATGTTAGGCACGGTTTGAACATTCATACTGCGCTTAATAATAGGACAATAAGAAGATCAACTTCAATATTGATTCAATTAAAATGCATTTTACATACAGTGAGTTAAATAAGATGTGGACAAAATGTAAAGTTTCAAAACAATATATGCAAATGCAAAACGAGAACTAAAAAGTGAAATACAACTGAAGGGTGTTTGAACTTGAGGAGTGAGTATTTCGTGTACCTCTCATACTAATTATTCATCTCATTTATTCATTGCTCACCCTCTGCACCATCTTCAACAACCACCTCATCTGGCATGTCCACCTTGACAGTTTCCGTCCACTGGGGGATGATCTCAGCCTCTTCGGGAGCCTCCGTCGGGGTGATCTCCACAGCAGGGGACTCGGTGGTAAGGGGTTCGGCAGCCTCGGTAGCAACCGAAGTGGGGGTTTCACTCTCGACCGTGGGCTCCTCAGTACCGGGCGTCGCCTGAGGAGACTGCGCCTCGGTCGTGACGTCCACCGCATCTTGCTGTTCGGCCGTCATTGGGTGGGTTGACGGAGCACCGGTGATGACGTCAAGCTCTGTGCCGGCCTCTGTGGGCTCATGGGTACGGAGGTCTGCTAAGGAGTGAGTCATCAAAACGTCGTGGTCTGTTGGGAGGACTGTGGGGCCTAGACAGCAACCATTTAGACAGATGTCACATCTTTGCTGCTAACTGCTGCTCTTTGTATGCTTACAATTAAAAGAAACATGACATAAACTACCAGTACCCAACATATAGCCCTTTACCACCGCGCTTGTGCTCGTGCTAGTTCTGGGCTAGTGCGCAGGTTAGCACCAATTCTTTCTTTTTCCACCACCGAAGTTGGCTCTAGCTCGAGTTCTGGTGCTTGAAATTGGCGCTGAAGCTTGCCCCGATTATTTGTCGGGCCGGACTAGGTCAGGGGACGGTATTATGAGCACAAAGGTAGAAGAATGACTCCCTGGACACACGCAAGTTTTAGACAAACTGTTGAGATGCGCCCATATAGCATGCGATCTCCGACTCGCAGCCAAATGTGATCATACAAGTATAATCGATGCTATGCTAAGTTGCCTCGTAGATGCTAACAGTGAATTATTATCATTTTTATTATTATGACTATTATTAGCGCGGGCGCTCTTGGGTAAACGTCAACGGAAGCAGTGACGTTTGGACTCTTTACAATGACGTAATGACGTAGCTCCTACTTGGCTCTTTGCCAGCAGAAAACCAAACACGAACTTGTTAAGTGCCAACTAAGCACAGCACTGGCCCTGGTGTCGAATGAAGTTGTTTTTTTTTTGGGGGGGGGGGGGTGGTTGGAAAAGTGGTAACAGTGACCTATGGGGGTTCTGCATTGAGGTCTACGGAGACAAATGTTTTTTTTTTTCCTTTCCATTACAGTATGCATTTTATATTTGATACAGATCTGTGAGTCACTGTACAAATTGTCATACAAGATAAAAAAAAAAAACACAAAACATTCAGTTGACTCGATTCAGTCAAATTGTCATTCCGTTTCCTTCACTGAGTCACTTGAACACACAAATTTCACTCTAGAATTAGTAAAGTAGTCATTTTGTGATTTGGAGTAAATGTTGATATGTTGTGGAAGACATTTTTATTCAATTAATAAAAATCACCACTGATCCCCTCTGATGGATGAAAACTAATACGGTTAATCGTCATCTGCTGAACTGCATAACACCTAATTACCCTTGCTGGCATTTTCCCCCGTTGCCAGGCATTTTGTCGAGCTCGAGCAGAAAACAGACCCCACAAAGATATATTGTTATCATTTGTCCATTTCTCGCATTAACATTCTGTGTTCCATTGTTTCAAAGGTGTCATTTACGCAGATCAATCTACAGTACGTACATTTGCCGGACGCGGCACGCAAAGCCCTTGCAATGCACGGTAAACGAACGCCGACCATGCTGTACAGCAGGACGACACGTTAGACACGTTACTTGGTGACAAGTCAAGCGAATCTCCGCAGGCCTCCGTAGGGTAACCTGAGAGCTGCCGCTAACTTTGGAGCCGAGGACCTTACATACCATTCTTCTCCTCTTACTGCCCTCTTGGACAACTTAAGCCTTGTGCGTGAATGCATTCATTGTTGGACTAGAGTCGCCATGATGGCTGCTTGCCTCATGTGTTGGCCTGTGTTCCAACAAGCCCGACTCACACCAAAGTGATCCTTCTCATTTGCCACCATTATTGTGCCCCAACAAAGCTGTGACGTCAACATGGCGGCAGAGTGATATTTTGGGCTGGAATAACTGAGCGAGGGAGAGGCGGTGGGGTCCCTTCAGAGTGCCTGAAAAAGCATTTCCTGCCATGGTATTCAAAACAAAACCCTGCCTCCTGCCGTAAAACAATTCTCATGCGAACACAATGATTGAAGCCGCTGTGGGGATAGAGATAGACATACACGAAACACGTGTCGTCCCCTGACCTCAACTCTACTGAGAACTTGTGGCGTATCCTTGAGATTAAGATCGCACGCCAGTACACCTTCAAACGGCATCTCCGGGAGGCATTTGGAACACATTTTAACAAAGTAACATGGCTGTGTCATTCCACCGCCCTCACCAGAAGGGCAGCAGCCCCACCCTGTGATGTAATACGGCACACATCTTCAAGCAATTCCTCCATCCTGTCTTTCTGGCTCTGTGCGGCCCAACATGCCACATCCTCTGCCTCATTTCCTGCGGAGGGAGCCACGCTGCACAAGTTGATGAGTGAGGCGAGTGCGGGAAAGCCTCTGTAGTCGGAAGAATTTGGAATTGTTCAAGGGCGGTGCCACAAATGGATAATTTGTAGTGGAGAGAATGAGGCAGTCTTGGAGAAATCAGTTTGAATTTTGAGAATTGTTTTGACATGTTTTGAGTTGTGACTACATGCCGGGGAGTAGGCAACCACCTTTTTTTTCTGTCTTATCCGTGTTATTTAGTTGATACAGAACAGGGATTTTAGAGTGACTATTAGGGAAACACTAAAATTGGCATGCTTTAACTTTACTTATTTTCATATTAGGAGAGTTAAGGGTTCTGGAGCTGGACCCTACGCCATCTGAATTTGGGCAGAAGCTAGACAACACCCCCGGATTGGTCGCCAGTCGATGACAGCACATTCACACCGCCACTGAGTGGAAACTGAAACCACACTGCCTGCACCAAAGTCAGCATTTAGGAGAGTTACAGTCCAATACACGTCAAATTACTGTCTGCAACTTTATTCTTGATTTGTTAGTATTTTTATTGATTATTTTGGTGGTGGCCATAAATGAGAACCCAAATTCCAATGAAGTCAAATGATTGTTTTCCAGTCGGAGGAGAAAATTTGAATAGCAGTGCGGTATCGTTCCATATGGAAGCCAACCGCATGTAGTCAAGAGTTTTGATGATGGCCATGCTCTGGAACAAAAAGGAATCTTCCATGATGAGTTTTGCAGCTGTGTGAAGAGCTGCATTTATCCTAGTGTCTTTCATCAAGGTCCGCGCTGTGAAGCCGCCCGAGCTCAACCTGATCACTACCCTTCAATCAGCCGAGCTCGCTCCCGCCATGTTCAACATCCCCGCGACCACAACTGAAAGCTCGGCCTGGAACCGCGCTGCGTCCCAACGAAGGAGGGTACATTTCAGCTGTACCAAAATTATGGACTAGAATAAACTTGTGTTGGCCCGAAATGACTTCTTCTCAACGAAAAGGATGAAAAAAAAAAAAAACAACATGCCGGACTCTCTTACAGCACAGAGTCGGCGAAACTTGGGCTACCCTTTTTCAGTCGGTCTAATTCAGGACCGGGAAAAATGTTGTGCTAAGGGGCCACATTTAACCTTTAAAAGGGACAGATGGAGCCAGGTCATTTGTCGTTAAGTAACGAAGCCAGCTTTAAATGGCCAGCATGCCATGCTTTCCACCCCCCCGCAGATCTAAAGTCCTGTAAGTTAAATAACAGAAAATTCTTCTGCGCGTGTCAGACAAGAAGTGCAGCTATTTCTGGTCATGTGCCGTCAGACGGCTGTGTTCATTAGCAACAGGAGGGGTAAATAGAAGAAAACATTTGTTCCCATTGAAAAGGAAGGGGGAGGCGGTGGGGGGGGGGGGGGGGGGGGTTAGTGGGGGTCAAACCGAGCCTCAGACTGTTTGTTTGGAATGCCTGTAAGAAATGATAAATTGGCTTTACGCTACGTGTAATCGCCCAGACCACCGCCACCACTAACAATTGCTTCATTATGTGTTCAGTTCTCACAATTAGCTCAGAGTCGTATTTCCTCTCCCAGTGCCGCCAATGGTGGGTGCACACAGGCTCTGAGATCAGTGGTGCATACATCCTTTCTGCTCTCTATGCCTTGTAATCTACATCTTCCACTCTTCCTCTGCCACTCCCTGAGAAGTGTGCCATGACAGCTGAAGCCTTTGCGGCGGTGAAGAGTGGGAAAGGGGAGCGACTCCCCCAATAGACCCTTCTCTTCATCAGACCCTTGGCACTCAGAGGAAGAGGCCACTTCTTAATGAAAGTTGAGGTGAGCAAAATGATGCTTTGTTATGAACATCAAACGTCTTAGTAGTTAGCAGTCATCTTCCGCATGTACGCACGCAGTTCACGATTCACAACTGAAACACTTTCATGCAGTATTTTTTGTGCTCTTTCAGAAAAAGCACAAGATGCCACAAGATGCTGCCAAAGACCTGCTTCATAGGAATTGGTGTAAAGGAAGTCTGTAGAAGTGGCAAATCTCGACTGAGAGACAGGTTTTGGGATCAGATCGTAACAGTAACTGGTAACAGAAAGTAGTCTGCGCTTGGTGCAAAAAAAGGCGCATCAGCAATTTCGAGGGTGGGGGGGGGGGACAGGTCTAACCTGTGGCGCTGGTGGTGTAACGCGATTTTGATTTATTTCATCAATGCACAGGCAGACAAATTCGCCGCACTGCAGATGATCATTTTTGATCGGATTTCATTCATGAATATGACACCAGAGTCCCTCTGAATCTTTATAGTTATCATTTCATTGAATGAATGATAATCATTCTCATCTGAAGAAAAATTTTATTAGTACAACTACTATTGTATGGGTCACACACAGACACCCGATCGGGGATTCATGGCGGTCTCCAATTGCCCACGTCACACATGCAACCGACTCCATCATCCGCAAGGGGAGATCTTGCAGTCTACCTGCCAATGTCATGCAATCAAGTTTATTTCTGTTTCCGCAATGTCCAGTGCGGCGTACTCAGACGTACTGTGCTCAGACCGCTCTGATTTCGATTCAAGTGGCGGATGCTGCTAGGCTTGGCCGGGAAAAGACTTCTTCCATCCCGCAACGGCACACAAAGGTGCAAACAGCCTATTACGCCCAGTTTCACCTGTACATAGTCTAGCAAAATACCAAAAGAATGAAAACTCCACCCATGCACACAGTTAGACTGCACATTGCACTAGACAAAAATAAGGCCTTCCAGAGTGATGAAAAATTCCAATTGCGGGAGAAATTTTGCGTCAAATTGAAAAAAAAAAACCCAAAAACTAATGCAAAGGCTTTTGCAGGCCACATCAATCATGGCCCTTAAGTTTGACACCCGCTGGGAGGATGAGACAATACACTGGTAGAAACATGAGAGAAGGGAGTATAACAGAATGCATCCATTACAATCAGCTGTCAGAGGCCCCTGCCTGGTGTGTATGTGTGCAAGTCACGGCGTTGTCTAAGAGGTGTTGAGGGAGTATGTGCATTTAACCTTCTCAGGAATGTTTTTAGGGTGCTGGTCAAGATAGACACCCAGCCCATCTCGGCGTACCCTGCACCCATGTGCATATGCTTCCCTCCTAAAGCAGTAGTCTTTAGTTGGGATACCAGGTCGTGCCACGCACCGCGACCTGTGGATCTGATTTGAGCCCGCGAGTGAAATATTCTCAGTCTTGGTGTGAGCACTACACAATGAAGGTCTTAAGAGATGACCCATCTGGAGCCCATCATCTCCAGCTGGTAGCAGATAAAGCAGACCTCTAATCTTGTGACTAACACATCTGAAAACAAATACCGGTACCCTTGGACATGACACACACAGGAAGTGAAGAAGAACACATGGAGCTTCTACTCAAAGTCATCCATCCATTAAATTTCTAGACCGCTTATACAGTACTCATGAGGGTCAGGGGTGAGCTTGAGCCCATTCCAGCTGAATCTGAGAGGTGGGGTACACCCCGCAGGGGTTACCAGCCAATCGCAGGGCACATTAAACATTGTTTTAAAACTTGCGCTCACATTCACAACTATACGGAAAACCGACTCTTCAATGGACCTCGCGTGCATGTTTTTGGAATGTGAGAGGAAGCCGTTGGACCTGCAGAAAACCCACACAAGCACAGGGAAAATATGCGAGCTCCACACAGGAAGGCCAGAGCTGAAATTTGAATCCTAAAGCTCAAAACCTCTGAGGCAGACCACCCAGGTCTACCATGCTTGCTTTCATCCATCCATTCATTATCTGATCCACTTATCCTCACGAGACTCGCGGGCGTGCTGGAGCCTATCTGTCTTCAGCCAGTAGGCAGGGTTCACCTTGAAATGGTTGCTAGCCAATCGCAGGGTGCACATGGACGAACGACCATTCGCGCTCACAATCACACCTAGGGACAATTTAGAGTGTTCAATCAACCGAGCATGCGCGTTTTTGGAATATTTCAACTACAGCAGCGGCAACAGGTTCAAGTCCCACTTGCATATTATGCATAGTCAAAAAAAAAAAAGTAAACAAAAAAGTATAACAAATAGATCTTGTGATGCATCCCATCGTTGACTATCATGATAAAGTATTGCTAGACCAGCCTGAAATATTGATATCGTTGATGCAAAATTCTTAAGTACATGAATTAGCATTAGATCCAGAAACAGAACAGAGAGAACATGCAAACAGAGCAAAGGTTTGAACCCTGAACCTCACAACTGTGAGGTAGACTTAATAACCACTCATCCAACAATGCTAACATTCCTGGAAAAAAATAAAAATAAAATAAAGTATTTGGTGGAATTCATCAGATTTTATTTTTATGGTGATATTTTCACGGGCAGACATTTCGATTCATGTTTCAATCATCAATTTGCCTTTTCTGTTGCACACAGTAGATATTGTGATACATCATCAATAGTTGTGATAGAAACTATTGTTAACATATCAGAATGGGCATTCTTGAATGACCTCCTGTATTCCCTCCTCGATTTAAAACAGTCCTCATCATCACCTGCTGCATGTAATGATTCGCACCCACACACACACTGAGTCAAGTCGCGTTGCTGCCGTGACGGAAATGGTCCAATGCCGCGTCTCCAGTGACAAGATGCAGGAAGGTGGAAAAGAAAAAAAAAAAAAGCCTTTTTCCTCAAACAGCTGCCACAAATTGGAAGCATACAATTGTCCAAAAAGTTTTTTCCACAGAAAAAAAAAGTTTCAAGAAAAACAACAGGTTTAAACCAAGCTGCTTAAAATGTTTCTAATCTCCATCCCCTGCACGCTGCGTCCAAAGCCCAACCAATTGAGTCATGTGTTCCTGAGTCAGCGTCTTGCTCCATTTTTTTTTTCCCTCTCTTGTTCCATGCCTCACCCTGCAGCACACATACAGGACATGCCATACACATGAGCCACGCAACTGTGGTCAGTCGTGTAAAACGATTCAACTCTCCTTCTTTGGTCTTTACTGACTTGCCGTTGTTCTCAGTATGGTGGCCATCGGAAATTTCAGGAAAATGTGTGAAATTTCCCGAACGGCCGGTGTATTTCTGTTCTGGTCCGGGGCATCATGGCCACCTCACCAATCCCCATCGCCAATTACGTTTTGGGACATGATGGCCCGTCGCTGACTACGTTTCAGTGCATGTTGGCCACTATATAGAATGTATTGTCTGTGTGTGTGTGTGTGTGTGTGTGTGTGTGTGTGTGTGTGTGTGTGTGTGTGTGCTCCCAGAATAAAACTTAGTGTGGAGCCCTGTGAGAAGTTTGCCACGCAAGCTAACAGTTAGCCTAGCTTCTTATCTTTTCTTCTTTAACGACTAAGACTACTAAGTCAGCTTTCTTCTTTCCATTTTCCATCAGTCCGGATGACGGTGTCACCAAGCTCCTTCTCATGAGTCAGGCTTGGCACTACGACAGATATGGTTATCTATGTGGCGTGCTGCCATCATTGCGGGCGTACCAAAACTTTCTATGTCTGGGAGGAGCTAAGGTTAGCTCCGGTTGTTGACGGAAGTTACGGAGAGTCTTCGTCGCTTTGTGTTTGTCTTTTGTGCATTTCTATGAAAAATCTCAAACTGAGAAACAACAGAGGTCCCATTATTGCTTGACATTTAGGGTTTAACAAAAATGATACACAAGCACACTTTCGCTGCTTTTGTCCGATATCAAATCAAGTCATTTATTTTCAAAGGGGGGCTTGTCAGATGAGTTTGAAATGATATCAACACATTGTTGTTTGTTATGTTTGTGTTTTTAACTGTTAATATTGAACAATAAGGTTGACCTTGTTAGGATTTGTAAAAATGTGTCTTTCTCGACTCTACGATGAAAGAAGACCGATTCAAATAAATCATTAAAAGCCCCAAAAGGGCATGACATTTATGCTCATGACGAGTGTATGTCAACTGCTAACCACGAAACGTCTGATACTTCAGTCACGTTGCTAAAACAGCAACTATTCCCTAAACAGATGTTGCTTTCTGCTGGATTCATGACGGTGAAGGTTTTCTCCTGCACAGCGCTTCGGTGCCAGCCTCATATTTGGAGTATGAGTGTCACATTTGAGTCATTTCTAAAAGCGGGCTGATGACCAAAGGGGCTGCTGACCTCTTCCTTCAGCAGCCAGATGTGACGACCGTGTTATTAGTCCACAGTGGCAGACAAAACTCATTAAGAAGGAGACTGGAGGAGGGAGACAGGAGGCGGTGGGCTTTTATGGGACACACGGGCGTTTCAAACGTTGAAGAGCCTGGATGAGCTCTTTTCTTTGTTTCCAACTTCTCTTTGGGAGTGTGCAATCAACAACATCTATGAGATAGATAGATAGATAGACAGATAGACAGATAGATAGATAGATAGATAGATAGATAGATAGATAGATAGATAGATAGATAGATAGATAATAACCCACCTAATATGTACAGACCAAGGAATAGCTAGTGATTAAAAGAGGGCAGGGTGCCACTTAGGAGCCCATCGTGCACCCACCATATGCCCTCTCTCCATAGCCATACATAATGTATGCCTATATGTACTGTGTATGATTCTCTATTAATAGAGGGGGCTCAAATAAATGAAAGGCACGAGGCCGCAGAGCTCCTCCATTACATCACTAACCCCCCCGTCTCGCTCGCTTTCGCTCTCTTTCTCTCCCTCCCTCTCTCTCTGCCTGCAAATTAAAATACTTGCCGTAAAAGGCTCCCATTTTGTTTGTAAAGAAGTTAATATTGAGCTTTTTTTTGTGGGGGGCAAATAATAAAAACAGCATAGCACTTTTTAGCAATCAGTGCGGGCTCACTATTTGGCAAGAACTAGTTATTTCTCATCAACGCTAATGACTTAATTTGAATGGGTACAATTTATATTACGAGAAAGTGTTCGTCAGGGCAGTCTTATAAAGAATTCGCAAATTCATACATTTTTCCAAAACACTTGTCCTCATTGTGGCTGCGCGTGAGCTGGAGCTTTTCCTCGCTGTTTTAAGATAAGATAGGAAAACTTTTATTTGTCTCACAATGGAGAAAAAAAAAATTAGGGCGAGAGGCAGAGTTCACCCGGGTCTGGTCGCCAGTCAATCACATGGCACATGTAGACATACAACCGCTCCCACTCATATTAACACCAATGAGATTCCAATTAATCCAGGGGAGAACGTGTACACTCCGCGGAGGGTCCGAGAAGGGACTCAAATCCGGAACCTACCGACTGTGAGGCAGAATTGCGAACCACGAATACACCGTGCTGCCTGAGTTTCGATTTTGTTTACTTGAATAGGTTATTCATGAGCTTTGTCACGTGTGACAAAAGACACATTTTCAACAATGAGTGCGGGCTCACTATTTGGCAACTATTGCCATGTTTATACAGACAATTAACAGTTCTCATGACTTGTTTCGAAACACTTTATGAAATCTAAAGTATGTAACTACGATCCAAGTAGAAGGAGATCATAAGGGTACCCCGATTGTAAAGTGGTTGCACACGAGACTGGCAAAATGAGGGATTCAAGCAGACAAAGGGGCAGCGTGGGCACATGGAGGCAGTAAGTGTGGACACAGCGCGCAGCTCACGGCAGGATAGAGACACAACTTTATGCTTTGAGAAAGAGCGCGCGAGAGAGAGAGAGAGAGACAAGTTTACTCACCCGCATGCGTGAAGGCACAGAAGGCCAACAGGAGCAGCAGCTGAACATTCATGGCGGTCAAGTCTGGTTCCTTGGTTTGATGATGACAGGACGACAACCAGATGTTCTCACAGCGTCAAACACACAAGGCGCTTATCCAGAGGGACCCTCGTGACTCCTGTCCCCGGAAAAAAAAAAAATGAATGAAAAGAAACGTGCCGAGATCTCGATGGAAGCCCTCTGAAGTTGGGATATGAGAGGTGCAGTGTGGAAGTGAAGGAGAGCGAGGAGAGAAACTGGTCCACAGCAGAAAGAAAAAAGAAAGAGGGAGACTGTGAGCTGAGAGTGGAGGAGGGGTGTGGGTACTCGTCGTGGTTTGTTAGGGGGCAGGTTTGCGTTGGGAGGAGGCTGACTGTGAAGAGGTGGATCTAGTCCTGCAAAATTAGCATATATGTACATACACTGTTTTTTGAGATGCTATATATATATATATATATATATATTATTTTTTTATCTAATTTTAATTTTTAAGAGTGACCAAAGATGAGTTTGAAAGGATAACCAGTTTTAGGATCATAATTGGAGTCATATTTGTGGGTAAAACCATGAATACACTGTTATTAGATGGGGCTATGGCCTGCTTCAATGAAGCTCCTTCTCTGATTGCATCACAGTTCCTTGGCAATATGATAACATGAGATGGTGCCAAAGCAATAATTTTAGACATACCTTTGGCATGGTTACAAAAAAAAAAACTCAAATAGCTGAGTTTTTCAACCAATAATGAAGGACAGGTTAAAAAAAAAATCTGCAAATACGTGAGTTGGGGTCACTCATGGTGTATTGGTGCATTCTCGGACTTGGAGGCAGCTCGAGTTCAGTTCCCACTGCGTGAGAGACTGAATGCGCACATGAATCGTTGACCGTCTCCATTATCTGTCCTGCAACAGATGAGCAACCAGTCCAACTGCCTTTTGGCCAAAGTCAGCTGATACTGATACTGATGAAAGTCAGCGTCACACGACCCTCAACAAGGTTGTTGATTGGTGTGCTCATCGCATCTATGCTTGTTATCATTACCCAAAAAATGCTTTTCATTCAAAAATAAGATTTTAAAATGACCCCAAACTTTTCAACAGTATATGTATATCCAAATAGAGACAGACAGAGGCAGCAGTCATGTTGTGAAGGTTTTCCCCACGAAGAGCAACCGTAAACACACAGTCGAACACGGTGTGACTCACAGGCCCAAAAGAAAAAAAAAAAAAAAGAGAGATCCACGGGTGGGAGGCACATATGCTGAGGGGGTAGGCAAACAAAAGCATTGCTTGGTACTAGGCTGACACCTGTTGGACAACACGCTGGACCCAAATTGGAGTTTGTCACAACAAATTCAAGGCAGTAATGAGAGCTTTACATCTGTGCACTCGTAAGTGGAGCTTTTTAAGGAGAAAAAGGGCCTATTATCTATGATCATGACAAAATATATATATATTACTATGGTAAATAAAGTGAACAAATAAATAAAGTATATGAAGTAAAATAAATGAATACGTTTAAAGAAATGGAAAACTTAGTTGAATCATCTTACATGGTCAAGCCGGTTATGTTGGAAGTCAATTTCAAAACTGCACCAGAAATATTCAGTTCTGTCATGGATATCTTTTATTAATGTGTACTGTATAACACACACACACACACACACACACACACACACACACACACACACACACACACACACACACACACATACACACACGCACACAC